CCCATAGACATGCAAGGCAATGCTTCCCATCCCTGCCGTGGGCGATCGCCGAACGATAACACGGGAGAGAACTATGTTTTAGCTCGCAAGAGCAACGCTTTGAGTACCTTGCCTTGCAAATGCTGGGCTGCTCCGCACAAAGCACGATTAGGTCGTAGAAATGTCATCGGGCGGTGGTACCGTGAACCCCCACTCCACTCTCTCACTCTCTCTCTCTCTCTCTCTCTCTCTCTCTCTCTCTCTCTCTTTCTCTCTCCCAGCGTCTCGTTGCTTGCGCAGATTGTGGAAGATAGCTCTTTTGTAGTGTCTGCGACCACAAATAAAAAACAAGCCGGTTCGTGTACACCATGCAGCGAGCAGTACGGCCTTGATCGCAAATATGCAGCAGAACCTACTGCAACACACATGATGCATTAGTGGGAGTTTGGGAGTGTAGTGAAGCCGAAGAGCGGTCAAGCACAGAATTGAACCGCAGAAGTCAAGCCCTAACAGAACGAGGTGGTGGTGTTGAAGCAAGACCTGTTGCTGTCCTGCAACCGAAATCCCTAAATCCCTCATCTCGATACCCTACGGTCCCTCGTCAGGGTCCAGTGCCGCCCAGGCTTTCGCGACATTGAGGAGTGCAAGGCCATGTGCTCAGCCACTGCTCGATGGGAATATAACAGTCGTTGCACGGGCATCGAGTGGTCACCTGGGCGCTGTGAGCTCTGGCAGGCCGGGCCCCTAAATCCAAGCCTTAAGCTCTCTACTTTGGGGCTGAAGCAGGGATGAAGAAGTCTAGGGAGCATAGAGTTGAACCAAGTCAAGGTGATGATTGAAGCTGTGAACCCGGCCGTCAGTGGCTTCTCCTGCCTCAACATGACGACCTAGACAGCCTGTCGCTGGATGTGGCGGTTTCGATGCATCCAGCACCGAAATTCGGTGGGAGGATGAGGCCGACAAGCTGCCTCTACGCTCCCGTTTACCTTCATCACCTTTCGATTTTACTTGCCACGGCAGCTGTGCCATTACAGGTTTTTCATGTTGCACAGCCTAGCTGGACTGAAGCAACTAGGAGCAGCTCTTGTGCCACCAGTGCCATGATGCTGCTCCTGCTCTGAATCCGAAAAGGCTGATAGCTTGAGACGACCCGTCCAAGGAGCCCAAACATAAGGCTCCCAGCCTGGGACTTCTCGATTATGATCACACGAGCATCTAAGATGTCTCCAAGCTGTCGTTTGCCCATAATTCTGTGCATTTGTTGCATCTTCCTTGTTGTCTCTTCGTCTCCTGAGCGTCGTGAGTGCATTGCAGACAACGTGGTGAGACTGAGCGATGGCTTATCTCCTGTTGCAAGCGTGACAGCTGCAGGCACATGTGGCTCAAGCCACAGGAGCCTCATCCGTCCCGGCATCTGCCAAACACATCACTTTTCATTCACGATGCGGTTCTGGTGGCTAACTCTGTCCAGCCTTACCATTCAGGGCATTCGCGTTCAGGACAGCGACAGTCTGCAGCGCTTGTTGGGGAGTTGCGTGCAACCTTGGCTCCCAGATGAGACCGCTTGTTCCGCCCGAAGCATCAGAGAGATGCCGACCCTTCTTGACGAGGCAGTGTACACAGTGGAGTATGCCAGTCATCCAATCAGCAGCAACGGCCTCAAGTCCTTGTCCGAGCTCCTCTCCTTCACCCACTCTGCCTTGGTCATCACAGAGGCATGGCAGGTCTTCTCCGCCGAGCAAACCCAGCCCTCCGCATTGCTCTTCGAGTACTTCGCGCGAGACTTTGGTCCCAAGGCAATCCTTCCAGCTTCCATCTCGGATGGAGGCATCCCGATTTGGGAGAACCAGGCCGTAGTGGGCTGGCGCGTGGCTGCAGACAAAGGGGAGTGGCTGCAAGGTGCAAATAGGACCACCGTAGGCACGGCCACTGGAAAGATCTTGAACCAGTGGTTCAGGGAGGTGGTCTTGTGGGGGAAAAGGCATCCGGGCTACAACCTCTTCAATCTATGGGATTCCACGGATGCGGTGACACGGAAATCGTACATGGGAGACAGTGTCTGCCACTCTTTCACGGAGTGGAGCTTGGTAGACCTCTTCCGGCTTGGGGCCGACTTTGCGATTCAGCATCCCCTGTGCCGGAACTACTTCTCTTTCATCACGAACGACAGCCCGAGGAAGCTCAACATGACGACTCCGGCCGACTCCCAGACCGTCCTGGAGTTCTACAAGAGGCTCGAGCCCCTGACCTCCCGGAGCTTTCACGACCTCCCCGAGTTTTCCTCGAACCTTCTGAGCGCGGTGAGGGGGGAGATCTCGCAGAGCCCCGGCGAAGTCGTCCTCTTCCAGCGGGGTCTGGAGGACTCCGGGGCCGGGGAGCGGCTCAGTTTTGAGAAGGGAGGGGAGGGAGCCTTTGAGGGTTTAGGGGGGCTCTTGGGTGTTTTTAGGGGCCTTGGGGTTTAGGGGCCTTGGGGGTACTAGAGTGACTACAGAGTCCTTGAGATTTTCTTTCTGGAAAGCTGGGCAAGTAAGGTACTTCCGTGCTGATCTGGTGAAGCCTTATTTCGGAGTGAAGCCGAGTCAGCTGGCTCAAAGAATGATCTTGCCGTGGCAAAACATCCCGGCGAACATCGAGGGCGAATGTGAATCTCAAGTTCTGAGGATTTTAACACCGTGGTGAAGTCTGCTGAATTATCCCAGGGAGGAGACATGCATCGACCCTCTCATTGCGCTACTCATGAAAAAAGAAACATCGTGTCGGATGCAGAATAGCCATGTTACACAGTACCAACATGAGGTTTCTCGGACTATGTTAATTGCCTGCAGTCCCCACTGCCTGTGGCCCTAATTGGCTCAAAGGGCTCTGCCCTAGACTGGGGGGCACGCAGATGCTGTCTCCCCAGATGCAAACCGCACCTTGCCTTCATCAACGGGCTTCTTATGGCCCCTGCATCCTGAATTTAGGGTGTAGGGCAGTGTAGGGTTTAGGGTTGGGCTTGCCCCTAAAGCCGTAAATCCCAAGACCTTCCAGAAGTCGCGGTCAGCGCATCTCCGTTCGTGTCCCGAGGCATACGGTGGAAGCCCAAAGCGCCTGGGCCAAGGCATGACTGAGTGCGCAATCTAGGGGCCTAAGTTTTTGGTACTCCTCCTCCTTAGGCTTCTTTACTCTAACTATTGCCACAATAGACCCCCCATAGCGCCCCCCCCCAAATTACTGTGATGTCGGGTGCGTGGGCCTGCTCGTTTTAAGCCCTGGGTCACCCATCCGTCATCTGCGAAGGCCGCCTTGAGACGGATGACCTGAGTCGCCGTCAAGACGACTGGGAGCGGGAAATCGAAACCCTGGACCAGAAGGCCGCGGGTTTGGGATTCTGGGTTTAGGGTTTAGGGATTCAGGGTTTAGGGTTTCGGGTTTAGGGTATAGGGTTTAGGGTTTAGGGTTTAGGAGATCAATGTACCAGACAGTAGGGAGTGATTGGCAAGGAGGAGCAAGTGTGTGATTAGTTTACAAACCAGCAGCGACGCCGCCGGAAGTCACTAGACGCAGTACTTAAATGTGCTGGCCTCCGCTGCTACTGGCTTCCATTCCCATCACTCGACTAATGCTTGATGCTGCCTCCAAAGAGCACCCGCCATTTTTGCAGTGTGCTTCATTCTGATATTCTCTGTGCTCTACACGCAACATTTACATATCTCGATCGACATCGTCATCATCATCATCATGATCATGATCATCATGATCATCATGATCATCATGATCATCATGATCATCATGATCATCATGATCATCATCATCATCATCATCAGCATCACCATCATCATCACCATCACCATCATCATCTTCATCATCTCATCATCGTCCCGTCGTAATAACCACAATCATCACCGTCGCCAAGAGCAACCCTAAGCTCTATACCTAAGGACCTAAGGGTTGTCAGCATGCTGTGCAGGAGATGGAGCTGCACCAGTCGCAGTTGCGGCTGATCCGCGAGCAGACAGCCATGTTCATTCGAGACCTCTCTGTTCTACAGGGGGAGGCTGGGTCGCGTTGTGCACCTGCAGCTGAACCCCCCTCCACTTAACTCCAGTTGGGCATGATGATGTAAACTCCAAACGCCCGAAGTCTGAGAAGCATCCTTCAAACTCATCCGAAAAACCCTCGCATCAGGTGACCGCCCTGAAGGAGGGATTGAGTGGCTCCCTGGCGCCACATTCCCCGCTGCAAAACGATTTCAAAGAGCAGAAGGCGGGCTTCCTTTCTCTCTTCTTTCGTCGGTATCAGGGGTTTAGGGTTTAGGGGTTTAGGGTTTAGGGTTTAAGGTTTAGGCGCCCCACCCCCCCTGAGCTTCACGAACCCTAAACCCTCAAACCCTAAACCCAGTCTCAAACCCTTTGCTCGCCCACTGAGCTTCACGAACCTCGCCGGGTTAAAGGGCTCACGGTTTGTAGGGTTTAGGGCTCTAAATAGGGTGTAGGGCTTGAAGGGTTTTCTGGGGGCTGGGGTTCGGCTCACTGCTGTATGGGTCTCGGGCTTATAAAGGGGTCTAACCCTAAATCCTAAACCCTAAAACCCTAAACCCTAAACCCTAAAACCCTAAAACCCTAAAGCCTAAGCCCCAAACTGGGATGTATTTTGAAGCACCCTTTCGAGGCAAAGCTGCTATCCCAGGAGCAGCTCACCCTGTCCCTTCAGAAGCGTGCGGATCCCCGGGTTTAAAAGGGAGTCCTTGCATGCGGGTTTCTGGGTTTAGGGTTTAGGGTTTAGGGTTTAGGGGCCGGAGTGATGATCGGTTTAGGGTTCCTTGCCTTAGTTGAAGCAGAATGCACCCCCAAATCCACCCTAAACCCGAAACCCCAAATCCTGAGTCGGCCCTTGAGTTTGAGCATGGGGCCTGCGGAACCTTGTATCGTAGTCGTGCCAAAAGCCCACGACTCCCAGAGTCTGTGCCTTCAAAGCCGAGACCCGAACAGTCCGCTTCCCAGGAATCGGTGCTTCTGTTTGCAAGATATCCCCGAAGCCCTAAACCCTAAACCCTAAACCCTAACCCTAAACCTTAAACCCTAAACCCTAAACCCTAATGCAGCCACGGCGGCAGCTCCATCATACATATATACAGACATGCATGCGTGCATGCATACATGCATGCAGTGTACATATGTACATACGTACATACGTACATACATACATACATACCTACATAGAGAGGCGGGTTCAAAGGTTCTGGGGGCGTCTTTAGGGGGTGCAGGGTATCTCCCTAGTTCGAACCTCTGCTTTGGGATCTCCGTAATCCCTAAATCATTCATGCGGATACCATGCGCGGACGGGAGCGCAGGGCAGGCGGAAGAAGGAGTTCGAAAACAGAAACATCGACCAAGCTCCTAAACCTTGAAGAACCCTGAACCGTAAAGCCCTCTCCTGACGCGGAAGCAGCGAAACAGGCCCTTAAAAAACACCCTCTCATGTGCTTCGCTCTCTACTTCCAGGTGTCGACTTTTTGGAGAGGTTGCTGGGCGAGTCCGTCGATCGGCATGCGCAGGAGATGTTGGGGCAGGGATCCGGGGTGCAGGTGTCTAGGGCTTCAGGCGCTTTGAAGGTCTGGGGAGGGGTTGAGGGTTTGGGGGATTAGGGTTCGCAGGAATCGGGGTTCATGCGGCGGGGAGGGGTGAGATGGGGTCATCAACACCTGCTTGTAAGGCTTTGATCTGCTGTCACGCCCAGGAGATCGAGTCAGTGTGTGACTTAGTTTGGAGGGTTTCGATGGGCTAAGAAGCAATAGGATAATCAACACTCTTAAGGTTGAGATCCGTTCCCCATGTCGGCACTGCAGCTGCGCTTGTGGCCCTAAACCCCTAAGCTTTAAGGCAAAGACGGCTCATGCAAAGCTGGCGGGAGAAGCGAAAGCTCGAGAGGCGCTGCTAGCTGTGCTGTCTAGGGGATAGGGAGTTTCGGCGCTTGGTTTGAGAGCTTTCGTGTTGAGGGTTCCATGAGTATACTATAAAATACTATAGTAGAGTCTGCTATACTACATGTCTGTCTACTACTACACGCTCGACAGAACCATGACGATGGGAGGTCATGGCCTTGTTGCCCCGAACCGAAGCCGACAGACCGTTGTAGACCCCCCCCCCCAAAGGATCATTTTTTTGGAATCCCGATAGAACCCTTATCGCGGGGGCAGGCGCATCATGCCTCCGTGGCAGATCGGCTTGGCTACATTGAGCAACTGGCCGGTTCCTGAGTGATTGGGAGCCGGAGCAATGTTGTTAGTAGCAGTTCCTCGTCTCCTTTCTCCTCCGTGTGCGTGAACCCTAAATCCTGAACCCGTAAACCCTTAAACCCTAGATCCTGAACCCTAAACCCTAAATCCTCAACCCTGAACCCTGCAGCCTCAACCCTAAACCCTAAACCGCCACCACAGGTGGGTGACTCCTTCGACAAGCATTCCAAAGAGATCCAGACGTCGCATTCCCGATTGGAGAGCCTGTTCGGGCCTTAATAATTCACATGGGATTTCGGGGTAGACTGTATGATTTTTAATTTTTATGCAACGATACAATGTATGTATTCATGTATGTATAGAGTAGCTTTGTCTTGCACCGCAACACTAATACTGTCCATAGCGTACTACAGCGACTACAGGGCGACATAATTACGAAGACTCATGTCGTCAAGTTCCGGCTGGGAGCTGTGATGCCCTGTGCCTAGGCACAGCCGCCTTACGGCTTGCGAATCACAGGCCCAGGGTGGGTTTAGGGTTTAGGCTTTGGGGCTGGGGGTGTATGGTTTAGAGTTTAGGGTCTAGGGTTTCGGCCTCGTTTAAAGGAAGTCTTAATCGGAAGCCTCAGCTTCAAAGGAGTTGCTAAAGGAAACGTAAAGGCCCCTCGAGGTTCCTTTACAGGTTCCTTTAAGGGATCCATAGGGGCTCAGTCGCCGAGTTCCTTTTGGCCGCTCTTGGAGACGTTTACCTCTGGACCCGAGCCCTTGGCGTCAAAATTCGACTTTTTTTCCCAGGCCAACCAGGATTCACTACGGGATCGCGTGGATTTCCTGGAGAAGTTGCTGGGAGAGTCTTCGCAGAAGCACGCCGAGGTCGTGCACTAAGGAGTATCGACAGACTTGGGCACTCAAATTCACAAGCTGCACCCAAAAAGGGCCCAAGTATTGCTGGCTCTTGGACTTGCACCGCTCCCTCCCGCTCGCCTGTAATTCAAGCAGCGACATGAATCATGAAGCCCTTCCGGAAGCTTCGTGGCTAAGTAGCGTTCAGGGGAAAGGTTCAGTACCGTTGAAATCCTTCACTTCCTTCGGACGCCAAGGGGGTGCAAGCGGCCCACGCCAATATGGAACGCCTCCATGGCAGTTTCCAGGAGCAGATGTCATCGAGGCCATCCGACAGAGATTGTCATACACATGCATACTCAGATGCAAGGGAAAAATGCGGAAGCATACACAGACATGGTCAGATACATACACATGATTGACATCTTTGATAAATGTATGCATGTCGCGGCTATTAAAGGTAAGAAGGAAGAAGATTTAGCCAGTGGGATGATTGTATGCTTACAGAAGATTGTACAGACGACGAGACTGCACTGAACACAGAAGCGATACATAAGTTTAGCGATACATAAAGTTTTTGAAGGATGAGAACATAGAACCCCATAGAACGAGAGCACATCCAAATTACAGTAAAAAACTATTAGAACATTCAAAGATTTCGGCAAGCAACGGACTTCATCCCAAACCATGCCAGAAAACCAAGTAACGAACTAAAAGGTAGATCAAGGGGGGGCAAGGAACATGTAGTGGAACAGTGCTTTCGGGGTGCAGCTCGTAGAAGGTTGGTGAAGAAGGGTAAAAATCTCTTGAGGTCTTGAGGGGCAATGGTGCGGTTTTGAGGTATGAGAGCTGTTGGCTTGAAGTTCGCGCGGGAGTGTCTTTGCTCGGGTGTGGTGTTGGACCCTTTCCATTTAGGATTGATTCAATAGAATCTCGGGGTAGCTGAGACATGTCTTGGGGCGTACCGTAGAACCTCGGGGTTTACAATCCTTAACTCCTAACCTAAATCCAAAATTCCATAAGACCCCCCATCCCCGTTTTGGGCTTGGGCCATGGGCCCTAGGTAGATACGGGTATTGGGGTTCTAGAGCGGGAACAGGATTCTCATATGTTGTATTGCTAGCTTGGGGGTGGGATGTTGCCATAACCATCACTCCTCAAGTTTCAGCTTCTCCNNATGTCATGGTTCGATGGCAGCTTCGAGCAACTTTTGCCATAACCCAAAGCGGGAATGCCCCACCCTAACTGTTTCTCACACATAGCCACTCTTGCGCGAAAGCAACGTCAGAAGAGGCCGTGCTCGCACACCAGGACCCCTTCGCCCGAAGTTGCCTCTAAGTCAGAAGCCTGAGCTGTACACCCAAGCCCTGACCTCTCAATCCTACACACTCCGGGCCTCCTGAAGCCCGGAGCCCTCAGCCCTAAACCATGAAGCCAATAACCCTACACCCTAAACCCTGA